AAAGTATACTGTGTTCCTTCTATTTTCTTCTATTTTCCTTTTAAAGTCTCCCATAAACAGAACGACGTTTTCTTTTCTTTCTTTTTTTTCTTCGTCGCCGTGAACAGATAAGGCAAGTGTGATAACGCCAAAAGTACCTCTCTAACGCACGGATTCGGAGACGTGCGACATGCGTGAAACAATAACAAAACTTGCAAGAGGCTTTCATAATTACTTTCAATATGATCTTTATTGGCATTACTGTTATTATTGTGGACTTTATTGCTGTATCCAATGAAGTCCGCGAAAGAGGTCGAAATGAGCTAATCATTTTACAAATTAACTTTTTGACCCATTGACAGAATTTAGAATGGCTTTTTTAGTCATCCATTTTCCGTACTCTGTAATGTGACCAGTGAATATAATAACAGCTTAGCAATAGTTTCTCTGATTGGCTTATCGTCACCGTCACCACTACCATTAACTTATTTTCGTTATTATTATATTTTTCGTTATTATCATATTATTATTATTGTTAATGATAATGATAATAATGATAATAATAATAATGAAAAAAATGATATTAACAGTCATGATTCTTATATTGATAATACAGTTATTACTATAAATAATACCAGTGGTATCAATACTGATAATGATGATGATAATAACAAAATTAACAACAGCAACAAACAACGGCAAAACAGCAATAATGGCAATGATAGTAATAACTAAATATTTAAGGCCAACGACCTTATTGGCAGTATTGATACCAAAGAAGAGGGAGATCTCGGCAAAAAAACTTCTATCGCAAAGTTTGGGCCAAGAAAGTGATAAAATTTCAGCTATATAGACGCCATGCCATTTATCAAACAGTATTTTCCTTTCATGCTGTCACTTACGATTTGATTTGTATAATTCAAATGTGTTGTATTTGTTAGGTATATGTATAGCGCACGTGTTGTTTACTTTTTTATTTGGCTTATTGCATGACTTATTTATACCAGTCATCACATTATTTAATCGTAATCAATTTATTACAATACTAGGCAGTCTTTTTCCGAAGTTCGAATTGCATCTTTTACTTATAAAATCTGATTTTTTTTACTGTGCAAATCATGTCACTCGTATTCAAAAAGGATTATTCACTTGGTAGTATCGGTAACATTGGCTTACAAATACAATAATTAATAATCTAGTCATACTCTGGACACATTACAATCTGCTGCCGATGTACAATGCTGTCATCTTAATGCCATGTCAATGCCTATGTACAATGCTGCCCACCCAATGTCATGTTGCAGCCTTACTGATATTCTGTTGCATTCCTGGTGATGTCCTACTGACATTTTAGAGAAGAGAAGAAGAAGAAGAGGAGGAGAGAGAAGAAGAAGAAGAAAAGAAGAAGAAGAGGAAGGAGGAGGAGGAGCCTCATCATATCCAGATCTTCCTCTTCATCAAACTGACTGCTACTTGCTACCTACCTGTCCCTGTGCCTCACTGCCTTCTGCTGCGTCTACCTCCGCTTTTCCCGCCAAAGGTGTCTGTGCTCTTCCCTATTTCCCGAAACGCTCCGCCACTTATCGTGTCTTCGTCGTCCTGCATGCATTCGGCTAGATAAGTAAAACTCACGCCAAGTCCTTGTCTTGCTTATGAATCGTACTGCTGCGCCTTCTTCAGTCTTGCAGTGCTTTCGCATAGAAATCTCCTCGCTTCTTTCTGCGTCTTCGTTATCCTACTTCTGATCGTTTACGAAAGCCAATGAAATCCCTTAGATTAATCGACTAGTGCAGAAAACTTTCATCTATAAACTTCTAAATTCTTTTCAAATCACCACCGTAAAAAGCTTCGCCTCTTTCCATAATCCTCACTCTACATAACTGCTTTGTGCCATGTTGGAAGTTGTGATGATAACAGTTGTTCTCCTCTCAGAAAGACACAGGAAAGTTACCAGTTCGAACGAAAATGAACTTTCAGCACTAACCCATCAAGAAGCCATTCCTTGATCACTCTTCAGTGGCTCTGCGTCACAAAAGAGTACTAACCTTTTCCTCATCACCACCGAACCAGAAGAAGAGGAGGAAGGAGAAGAAAAAGAAGAAGAAGGGAGGAGGAGGAGGACTCATACCAAGCCTACTTTTTTGATTCAGCGACACACACACAAAAAAGATTTACACACACATGACCATTTCACACCATGTTTTTTATAAGATCCTCTTAGACTTATGAATCCTATAATACCTGGCGGATGATCAGAGAAACTCGGCTGAAGCTCCATTCCTTGACGGAAGTCCTGAAGGGTAACGGAACCGGCATCGTCCTTGGCAAAGCGGAAGAACGGGAAGTAGCGCGTCACCAGAATCCGAGCCTGGCCACCCCCGTCTTGCATCAAGGGATACAGCCTTTACTCACAGAGAGGTGATCTCCATTGATTCCGGTAGAAGCGCGGCGTGGGTTGTAACGCGTTCAGGTGAGCAACACGCGAGAATGTATAGGAGGAGAGGAGGAGGAGGAGGAGAAGGAGAGGAGCAGAGAGGAGGAGGAAGAGGAGGAGGAGGGAGGAGAGGACGAGAGAGGAGAGGAAGAAGAAGAAGCAGGAAAGAAGAAGAAGAAGAAGGGGGAGGAGTGGAAGAGAAGAAGAAAAGAAGAGGAGGAGAGGAAGAGAAGAAGGAGAAGGAGGAGGAGGAAAAGAAGAAGGAGAAGGAGGGGAGAAGGTGAAGAATGAGAGAGAGAGAGAGAGAGAGAGAGAGAGAGAGAGAGAGAGAAGAGAGAGAGAGAGAGAGAGAGAGAGAGAGAGAGAGAGAGAGAGAGAGAGAGAGAGAGAGAAGAGAGAGAGAGAGAGAGAAGAGAAAGAGAGAGAGAGAAAGAGAGAGAGGGGGGGGGAGGCAGAGAGAAACAAAGGCTACCGCAGACGCTCACTTTAACTGAAGTGAACTGAACTGAAATTGAAATGGAGCAAGTGGATGAAGAATCAATCAGACAGCTTTAACTATACAAGCAGAAATCTTTACCTGAGCAATAGATGTCAGTTATATTCTTCTGCGTGTTTTAGGTGTATAGCCAAACCGAAGCGTTCGAGGACTAATTTACAAGTTTATACAGTCTGCACAAGTCTGCTGTGATGAGGGTGTGTTATGGAATTTCTCAAAAGGGATTGTGAGGGTTTCCCTAAAATGTACCGAAGCAAAAACAACTTTATGACAAAATTCTTACTAAACATTATTATTTTTGACTTGTAAGCTTGAACCAATATTTTCGTCCCACTCAGGTAGGTATATTGTTGGTACTGTAGACTGCATTTTGTTCACTTCCAATGCACTTATTTTTCTATAGAAAAGGGAAGATCGTATTTCCATATCATTGATAAGTATATTTTGAGTAAAATGTTCAATGTCATTATATAATGCAAGAATAGCTTTACAATTAAACATGCCTGAAAGTTACCGATGCCGTCAGAAACACTTGATCGGTGATAAAAAGGTGTATGTAACAAGGTTAAATTAGGTTAGTTGTTAGTTTCCTGTACGTCTTTCAGGAGGCTAATTGTTACACCAGATCTTCCTCTACTTTTCCTTTATCTTTTATTTTAATGGCACTTCTTAGAATATCAAAGGCCAGAGGTACTGCATGCCATCCTGACGTACGCCCATGAAAAAATTAGTTCTTGACCGTAGACTTACTTATAACATGAAAAAATGTGTGCATCGGATTTTTTGACGAAAGAACATTAATGCAGGCACCTCTTTTATGAGTTTTTTTTTTTTTTTTTTTTTTTTTTTTTTACCTAATAAGTGTGTACCATTTCATTCCACTAATTTCGTCACTTTTATGGATCCGTCCCACTGCTACCATTTTTTATTACAAATATTTACATTGTTACTTAAATCATTCACAGATTTCCATATTCCGTGTATTTATCACTCAGATTTCCCTGACCCCCTTTGACACCGCCATATAACAATATCAATCAAATCTGTGTCCAAATCCGACCCAAGAATTAATGTTTTTTTTCCCGAATTGACCTACACTTTTGCATAAAGAATTTAGAGGCGTCTACACTTTTCTTTAAAGAATTTAGAGGCGTCTACACTTTTCTTTAAAGAATTTAGAGGCGTCTACACTTTTCCTCAAAGTCATTGGAGAATTTATAGGAATGACAACTAAGTGTTAGTCATTAAAATACACATTTGCCGATAAGCGCCTTTCGATCACTTAGAAAGCCTAAGTTTACGTTTTCTATCGTAATTGTGGCGTTAAAAATCTGAGATTTCTGGGATTTGCATTTTCCTTTCGCTTGGCTGTCGCATCTCCACATTATTTTAGTTTTATTTCTGCGGTTATAGGCTTAAGGAGCGAGTGTGGGACTTGCACTCTGTCCGGCTTGGTTCTTATCGGTGAGTTATCCATAATTCGGCCACGTCAACATTTAGTTTAGATTGGATTATGCAGGTCGTGCAAAAATGTGACCCATGAGTCGCTCATAGGTCACATACAGTGTGTGTGTGTGTGTGTGTGTGTGTGTGTGTGTGTGTGTGTGTGTGTGTGTGTGTGTGTGTGTGTGTGTGTGTGTTGTGTGTGTGTGTGTGTGTGCGCGCGCGCGCGTGCGTGCGTGTGTGCCTCATTCAGCATTTGGTTTCATTCTAGCCTCCAGGCAAGCTATTTGGATATTGAAAAGGGTCATAACATTTTTATGAAGTTAAATAGGTCAAAAAGGATAATCATCTTTAAAGTGGCATACTCCACACTCATATGTTCCTTTTAGGATGAAATGCATTATAAGCTGAGGAGGCATTATCATTTTAATTATTAATACAACAATTTTGTACCGGCATACGGGTTCTGAACAAGTACGAAACCATAACTTACCAAAAAATTATCGACTCCCAGTGATAATTTACATCCCGCTCATAACAGTTTTAAATTCACTCAGAATACCTATATTGCAATAATTACTGAGAACATGTTAAAATAATAAAATGACAACAGGAAGGAAAAATACATAAAAAAAATCGGAACAGATAATATTGTAACTGATAAGACATTATTCATGTTAAAAATCGTAGCTTGGTCTCGAAGAATAAGCGACCAAACGCACAGTGTACATCTTAGTGGTGTGTTTTCAACGCAGCAAAGTTTCCTCCTTGAATCTTAAACTTTAATTTTGAGGAAAAGGAATTCAGGTTTATTTTTGCAAGCATGTCTAAGAGGGGATTTGCACAACAACACTACGGTAGTCTCTCGTCTGGTAATGTAATGTGTTGTTTGTTTACTTTTAATTTTTCTTTTGGGAATTTACAAAACCGTTAATGTGTGTGGTAATTTCGGAATGAAACCTTGCCAAAAGACATAAGAATAAACACTACAGCGTTATAAAGCAGCGTGTATGCCTATTAATTTATAGTATATACAACTTGTCAGAGGAGAGATGTATGTCATAATCAGATATATATTTTATAAGGTAGCCACAGGTACTCTAATGCTGCAATTGGAACTCCTCGTCTTGCTTGCTCAGACAAATCGAACAAAATGTTATGACGATTTTGAAACTCTACTTTCTCGTCCTGGACAAGTTGTCCATTTCGTCCATCTTTCCCCCCTTCCCAGCAGGGTGAGCAAGACGAGATGACATTACAGTAGCATTTGTATATAGACAACGACAGTTGCAGGCAACCATAAGATATTGATAGGTAATTTTATTTCCCTTTATTGATGTTATCTAAGGACATTATTGTGTTGGTCAGTTGCAGTAAGTTAAGCATGCACCAGAGGAGTTACAAAACCTATGCAATGGGTAAAATTAAGACACTGTTATGATAAAAGAGTGATTGTTTATGTTGAAGTTGGTTGCATTCTGGGCAGCGACGACCTTGAAGGGTTTGAAAGCGCCCTCTTTGTCCTGCTGGTCCTGACATGTCTGGACGAGCAAGACGAGGGGTTCTGAACGCAGCATAAGTGATTTCCGAGGCTAACAATCCCATATATATTCTAGCAAGAGAGACCTTGTAGACTATGCTAATTTCTAGACTACCTTGGGTAAATATTCAGAATACTTGTGGATGACTAATCACAATGATATTGGTATTGATGGATTCCTCTCATTCTGTACTAGCCAAACTTATAGAAAATATGCTGCAGAAATCATCTAATATCCACAATCTTAAGTAATTTTACACAATAGCGCTGTATAACAGATTGCAACAATTTTTGTATCGATTGAGTTCTCTCACTCTCTAGTATTCAAATATGTAATCATTGCATGCCTTTCAATCCCTGCAATATATTCACATATTCCTGGCCCAGTCTGGAATGGATGCAAGTCATCTGGTGAAGATTTAAGCCTGTGCTGTAATCAATACCCACCAGCTTTCAAGGATAGTTTTTCAGAATCTGCTGAACCTCTTGGGCATAAGTATTACAGTATAGTAAATTATGCAACTTTATTACACATACACATTGTAAGCAACATCTCTTTATGGTCATTAATTTTACAAACAATCAAATTATACCTGTGCTAAACAATCACATGTGGCTATTGCTGTTGCCAGATCCTGATAAGTCCACCATCATTTGGCCTGCTCTAAAAAAATTCATCAGTCATTTGTCAATAAGAGAATTTTGTTCCAAAATTCTGCTGCTTTAAAAAATTGACTAACTATATCCGTTGAAGATCTTCAGCGGAAAGGGCCTGGATTCAAGACTGGTTTATGACAGGGTAGTACGTATAACTGACAGTCTGTCTGACACTCTATCCTGCTGTGAATATGTGGAGGTTTCCTTGATTTCCATTGTGGGGGGTTTGGGGGAGGCAGCATTAGACAGTATAGTAAATGATTCTGTTTATGTTATATATTACCCCACAATTAACCTGCTACCATTGAGGGCCAAGAATGTGGTGGTTTGAGTGGTTTCTGTAGTATGGTTTCTATATATTTGGAAACGAGAGTAAGAGAAACTCATCGATACCAAAATCATCATGATGGGTTATATGAAGGTATTCCAAAATATGCATGCATGCTGTGAATAGGTTGAGGATTCTTCCATTGCAGGGGTACATAGTGCGGTGGGCAGACCAATGTGTTGTGCAAAAGATCAGATAATGCTGCACACGAATCTTCATTGTGCACAGGATACTAAACTGCACATTTTTAGATCATTTATTGTGATTGCCTTGATGCCTTTCAAAAATGCAAAAATTGCCATGATGCCCTTGATTTTACTGAAATTTCAAGGCAAAAATTGCAGTGCCCCTTGTAACCTTAAGTTCCTGCCCTGATTACTTAATAATGAATAATCTATACTAGTATTAGCTATATTGTCAATGAATGTTTGGGTTCTGGAGGTCAAAATCTTGCTCAGAATTAGAATTTGAAAGCCAGAAAGGTAAAAAGGTATAGACAAATGGTACGTGGCTTAATGTTCAAATATATATAAGAAATTTGCTGCCAGTAACTATGATTATACAATTTTGGTTGTCATTAGTAAACTTTTAGTGGATAGTGTAATCCAGTTGTGTGTCATGGA